ACAAAGCCAATTTCTACTGTAAACAATAGATGGTAATCATTTATTTGTACATAGAGTGTTATTTTGAAATACTATAGCCTTCGTAGTAAGAGTTTTAAATTGCCTTCATTTTGTATAGTCTGTATAATATTTGTATAGCGTTTATAGTTAAAAGTTTTCCATATGCCTTTTATTTCTTGAGTTATAAATGTGGTATAAAATGTCAGTGTTTATTTTTAATAAAATGTAACCACTACCATTAAGAAAAAGATATGGCTAACCATTACCGTGTGAAAGATATAAAAGTGAATGTGTTGGTCACTCAATTACGTCCAACTCTTTGCCACCCCATGACTGTAGCCCATCAGACTCCTCTGTCCATGGAATTCTCCAGGCAAGAATACTGCAGTGGGTGGCTATTCCCTTCTCCAGGGAGCCTCCAGGGATCTTCCCAATGCAGGAATCAAGACTGGGTCTCCTGCATTGCAGGCAGATTCTTTAACACCTGAGCCATCAGGGAAGCCCTTACATTATTGAGAACATATACACCAACCAGACAAGTGACAAGGCTTGGTCAAAGCGGGCTTGCTCCTATTTTGATTGTAGGTATTTTAGGTATCTTGCCTGTTTGGTTTTACGTTCCCCACTTGGCCCTATTACCTGTGAATACCATTCCTCATCTGACTCAGCTAACACCATGGTAGCCCCCTGCCAAGTCTTCATAGTTCCCAGCTGTTCCAAAATTCATTGTCCTTATCAATTCCAACACATGGGGATGAACAACATTTGTAGACATGTGTGTCTTAAGTATAGATGCTAGATTTTTACCCAACATAAAGCAATTTTTAATGTCTAACTATTAGTAAAATTTATGAAAGTATGTCCTCATAGCTGAATCACTTATATATTTCACCCTTTTCAAGTAATGAATCTTACTTGGTCATACACTGATTTTTTTTTTTAATATACAACTTCATTTTCTGAATTCTCTTTAAAAAAGTTTTGCATCTATAACTGTGAAATGGGGATATAATTGTTGTGGGATTACTACACTTATTCAATTTAGAATTGTTTATGCTGTATTTGTAAAATTAGTAACACAATTTTTTCTTGTCTTCAGAAAAATCAGTGAACCTAAAAATTAACTGATTTCTTTTGTCTCTTTAAATAAAGTTTTTAAAACTCAGTCATAAAACTGCAGAAGATGGGAATGAAAAGCAGAACTTCTAGAACTCAAATCTCTTCCTGTGTTATTAATCTAGTCTGGGTTTCTGTTACATCTTGATTCAGTATTGGTGATGCTTATTTTCATAGAAATCTATTATTTTATAAAAAATTCCAAGCATATACATTTTGTTTCTGCATACGTGGTTTTAACTCTTTCCAAATTGCTAAGGTTTATATTTATGGTTCCTACATGTATTTTTCAAGCTATTTTTTAGTTATCTACTTGTTTTATTATAGTGGCTTATTTTTTTAAAACCCTTTTTATTAATATAAATTTACTTTTATTCTAACTCATTCATTTCTACATTTCATTTATTCATTCTCTGTTTCTGTATATTTGTTGACCAGTTATTCCTTTTAATTTAAATAATTCACTTATTTTCTTCTTTTCATTTAAAGATAAAGCTTTTAAAGGGACAAGTTTTACTCTAAATGCATTTCTGGTTATATCTCATAAGTTTTATACTATTGTATTTGGGATTATTTATCAGCTAGGTAATGATATTATAGTTCTTTGACCGAACATTCATTTATTTACTTTTTAACAATTCAGATTTTATATCTTAGTTATGGATTTGCTATTTTCTTTTACTATTGAATCTTGCTCACAAATTTTAGTTTGTACATTTATTATTCTGAAGAATCTATTTATGTTCAATCTGTAGTTTAAGATTTATATAATTTTTAAAACTTAATAATGAATGATTTCAAAGAATCTATAATCTCTCTTCATGTATAAAGTTTATGATGATGAAGTTCAATATATACTACTAAACACACTTGCTATTAATTTCTCTAATTCCACTGTAATTTTGTTTACTTAACAGATTAAAAACTAATTTGCTTTGAAGTATTTGACTCTGATGACTATAATTTTGTCAAAATCTAGTATTTCTAAGAGCTTTATTTTATATATTTCAGTATCATATTATCTGATCCTCAAGTGATAATTAGTTACCCTCCCAGTTTATTGTTTTCTGTCATTCATCTTTTGCCTGATATTATCATGACCATTGTATTTATTGTTTATGTATTGAAGATGTCCATTATGACAAGGAAAATAGGATGACTAAGGCTGGTTCGAGTCACTTAGTGAACATCCTACTCTCATATTAAGTTTGACCCCTAAAAGAAATCTGACAGACCTTACTGTCACAGGAGAGACAGTGGCATCAATGTCATAGTAATCAGGAATACATCTAACTGGAAGTTGTAGAAAGTACTCAACTGGGGACAACCAGAAGTAAAAATTACAAAGAAAATGTCCAGGTTTATTTTTCTGTGTGAAGAGCAGAGGAATTAGGCAGGCAACACTGTATAATGTGTCTACTCTGGACCTCTTCCGAGGGAGTGACATCAAACTGATCACAAAAACGGACTCTGAGGGAGACTATGACTGCATTTATTCATCAAAGATCCAGCTACAGATCGGTGTCACATTTGAATCAAATTTATTTTATATTTGATCCTCTGATGACAGATAAGTATATAAACAGGAAAAGTATTATCTTTAACAAATTATTTTTTTTTTACTGACTAAATTATCTAAGCAAAAATAAAAATCAAGTATCACAAATTTCAGAAAGTAGGAACTTCAACAGTTTTTAGACATAAATATTATATACACATATATGCATATATTTATACATAATGTATGGTCTTCAGTGTTGATTTACATACATTAAGCTTTATAAAATGTCTTAGGCCTGAAATATAAACTTCCTGAGAAAAGGTCCCTACCCCAAATAAAAAAGCTTTTTTGTTGTTTCTAATAAACATTCATTACATTTGTCAATTCAGCAAATAGAAGACTCGTTATTCATTATCTCTCACTTAAAACACATGTGGCTAAATGTATTTTCTCCCATTATTTTTATCCCACATGCAGTAGAAAAAAAGCAGTATGGCTGCATTTTACTAAAATTCTACCAAAGAAAGTACTAAATGTAAACTCATACTATGAGCGAAAAATGACATATTTCACCTCATTTTAATTTCAGTAATTGAGTGGAAAAGTAGGAATACCTATTAAAAGGACCATGTGCTAGTCAAACACTAATAAGAAAATGTCAGAGTCACAGGTTGTCATGGTGACGGGATATTATGGAAATCTGATTAGTATGCCCAGCAGCTGTGTAAGTGACATACTACACTTCTAATTGTGCTGTCTCTGCTTGCAAGATGGGCTTTATGTTCCTGAGAGGTAAGAGGTGGTACAGATCTGTTTATCCACATACCAGGAATGGAATGCATTATATGTTCAAAAAATTAAATCCAAACATCTAGCACTAAAGTTGTATTTTATAAACACTTTCAAAAATTTTTTTTGAAAAATTAGTTTACTCTTCTCATTAAGACACAAATTTTTGAGTAGTTTACTCTTATTTCAATTAATTTCACTGACTTTCATACTAAGGATAAGACAAAGATAGATGCTTTTTTTAAAAAATTTTTGTGCAAACAAAAAATAAAGTTCTCCAAAGAACAAATTTTCCCAATGGTACCGTTCAGAAGTTTCACTAAAAACTACATGTCTCCAAGAATAATTAGACCAGAAACTGTTAGAAAGAACCAGATGCAGGAGTGTTTACAGATGTTAAGCATAATGATAATAAGAAAAGACCACTGGGGTTAGGGATAAGGGTTGACCACAAGCGACAGTGGGCAGTGCTTCTTGCCACCAGAATAATGTGTGTGTGTGTTTCGGTCCCTCTGTGCCCTGGATCTTTGGGTACAAAAATTAAGTGAATCTTGAAAATTATAGGGCTCAATGCCCTCAGTTCTGCTTTGTTTCGTTGTATATCTTAAGCATCATTGAATTTTTAAAGGAGTTGATCACTGCCTCCTGATCCTTTTTGGTAGATAACTTAATCCTAAATGGAAAACATGCAAGATTAACAGAGGCCAAGTAAACACTGCTATGCATTACTGAAATTCATGTGCCTTGTCAGAGTTTATGAGGACAAAGAGCGTTTCTGAAGCTTGTCCTGGGAAGCTCATTACTCTTCTTAAATGCATCAGCATGTGGATTAAGTTTTACATGTACTAAATATCAAAAGCAACCAATCTAAAGTCGATATAATGAAAGCCAAAGGAGCATTTATCTACATGTTTCAAAATTCAGTGGTAGAGGTGGGGTTGCAAAAGGAAAGTGGCAGCATAAATTTTGAAGTTTCATTTCTATAAGAGGAGTTAAGTCCTAGAGATCTACTGTATACCATAAAGCCTACAACTAACAATTCTTAAGGAAAACTTAAAAATTTGCTAAAGAGGGTAGATCTCAGGTTGTGCATGTATGTTCAGTAGCTCAGTTGTGTCCAACTCTTTGTGACCCCATGGACTGTGGGCCACCAGGCTCCTCTGTCCATGGGATTTTCTAGGCACAAATACTGGAGTGAGTTGCCATTTCCTCCCCAGGGGATCTCCCCAACCCAGGAATCAAATCTGAGTCTCCAGAGTCTCCTGCATTGCAGGCAAATTCTTTACTACTGAGCCACCAGCATTTATAAATCTGAAGTGTTTTGAGGATAATGATGATGATGATAAGATAAAGTGGATGGGAGGAAACTTTTGGAGATGATAAGTATGTTTATGGTATAGACAGCGATGATGATTTCAAGGAGGTATACTTATCTCCAAACTTATCAGTTGTACACATTAAATATACACCTTTATTCATACTTCAATAAGTGGTTTAAGAAAAAAGAAGAAAAAAGACAGCAGAGTGAAGACACAGCGTAAACAAGTGCATTCCTGGAGAGATAAGACTAGCTCTGAGAGCTGTGTGCACTGACCTGGGATGGAAGCAGCAGTTTGAAAGCCAGTCAGTGTGGCCCAAGCCTGTGAGAAGCACGTTGCCTTTGGGGAGCCCCACCATCTTCCAGACACGGTCCTCCCCACAGGAGACAAGGAGGTCTTTGTGAGGGTGCATGATGATGCTACACAGGGAAAGAGAAGAAAAGGTTGTTAAGGGAAGCTAACAGTGAATGGCTTCATATGGGGAATAAATGAAATGGCAGTGATTATACATTTCAGCCAGGCAGGGCAGTTACAGAATGCTGGTTCAGAAGTCGGAAGAGCCAGGTTCAACCTCCTGGCTAGAGCCCTAGCTTATACCTTCCTGAATGTCATCAACCTAATTAATTTCACAGGATCTCAGCTTCCTCATCTGAAAAATGGGATGGTTGATTTAGGTGAATGGTCATGTCTAATTCCGGTTTGAAATAATAGTTCTGGTTTTTCATTCAGGGAGGAGAAGTTATGCCAATGAAAATTTGGTGTTCAGACATTTGGACCAGTAGCCATGCTTATTAAAATATATAAAATTTAAACTTCTTTTCAAATGATAGTATATCTTAATTCATATACTATCCAGGAATAGATCATAAATCATAACATTATGACAGTTCTGTAATAAATTCTATAAAAGAAACATTAACTCCATGAGCTCCTATCTACGAAAAGCAAAGGAGCTCAAATTCCACACTGATATGCCACTTAAATTGGCTTCAGTCAAAGCACAGTACACAAATCACAGTAATGAATTCAGGATGCAAGAGGCAATTCCCACTCTATAAAGGCATAGAGGGAACTGAGAAAGAAGTATGTAAAATTAATGATTAACACATTATGCAGTATTATTTGAACCAGACTATGATCATTGTGGCTATTTAAATATTGACGCTAAACCATTTGAAAATCAAGAGACTAAAAGGTTAATGCCTGATATTTTATCTATGGCAATACTTTAATCTTATTTATATAGTTTCATCTGTGCCTTCCAATGTAAAGGGAACAAATGTACTCTGTGTTAAGCACATATTAAAATACCAGCCTAAATATTAGCAGCAAGTTGTTCAGTTTCAACACAGCCGTCTCACATCAAAGACATAATGAATTAACTTGCATGTATAATGAAGTGAAATGAATAGAGACTTAAAAAATAAAAACCACACATTCATTTCTCCCATAATCCTTGTAAGAATGACATTGTTCCTTTCTTCTGCAATACAGACTTTAGGAAATCAATTTCCCAAAGAAACCACAGTCTCAGTCCATACCTACATGAGTAACTCCAGGGCTTACATGAAAGCACACCTTTTCTCATTTTGGATTCCTTCCAAGAATAGCATTAAATCCCCAAATTCTGAGCTGAAAAATCATGTCCTTCCATTAGGCCTATCCAGTTTTGGAAATGCGCTGGGGTCAGTCAGTGTGGGAACTATTTAACTCGCAGACACATAACCACTGTGAGCAGGGCTTTCTTCTGAGTGAAAAAAATCCCCTTTTCTCCACCACTTTGCTGCTCAAAATAAACATGGTAGAAGGGAAATTATTCATTTTGTAATTCATCACAGTGTTGGTTTGTGACTTTCAGAAGGCCAATTCAGAGAAGGAATTTATCACGGTTCAAACTGGGGAGAGGATGCATTTATAGAACTTAATTAGAAGAAAAATATGATAAGAAGGGGGAAACAAATGTCAGGTTGAAATGAATCCTACATTAAAGCACACATAAGAAAGCAAACCAAATCCGTGAAGTTCCTATTAATTCATATACTATCCAGGAATAGATCATAAATCATAACATTATGACAGTTCTGTAATAAATTCTATAAAAGAAACATTAACTCCATGAGCTCCTATCTACGAAAAGCAAAGGAGCTCAAATTCCACACTGATATGCCACTTAAATTGGCTTCAGTCAAAGCACAGTACACAAATCACAGTAATGAATTCAGGATGCAAGAGGCAATTCCCACTCTATAAAGGCATAGAGGGAACTGAGAAAGAAGTATGTAAAATTAATGATTAACACATTATGCAGTATTATTTGAACCAGACTATGATCATTGTGGCTATTTAAATATTGACGCTAAACCATTTGAAAATCAAGAGACTAAAAGGTTAATGCCTGATATTTTATCTATGGCAATACTTTAATCTTATTTATATAGTTTCATCTGTGCCTTCCAATGTAAAGGGAACAAATGTACTCTGTGTTAAGCACATATTAAAATACCATCCTATATATTAGCAGCAAGTTGTTCAGTTTCAACACAGCCGTCTCACATCAAAGACATAATGAATTAACTTGCATGTATAATGAAGTGAAATGAATAGAGACTTAAAAAATAAAAACCACACATTCATTTCTCCCATAATCCTTGTAAGAATGACATTGTTCCTTTCTTCTGCAATACAGACTTTAGGAAATCAATTTCCCAAAGAAACCACAGTCTCAGTCCATACCTACATGAGTAACTCCAGGGCTTACATGAAAGCACACCTTTTCTCATTTTGGATTCCTTCCAAGAATAGCATTAAATCCCCAAATTCTGAGCTGAAAAATCATGTCCTTCCATTAGGCCTATCCAGTTTTGGAAATGCGCTGGGGTCAGTCAGTGTGGGAACTATTTAACTCGCAGACACATAACCACTGTGAGCAGGGCTTTCTTCTGAGTGAAAAAAATCCCCTTTTCTCCACCACTTTGCTGCTCAAAATAAACATGGTAGAAGGGAAATTATTCATTTTGTAATTCATCACAGTGTTGGTTTGTGACTTTCAGAAGGCCAATTCAGAGAAGGAATTTATCACGGTTCAAACTGGGGAGAGGATGCATTTATAGAACTTAATTAGAAGAAAAATATGATAAGAAGGGGGAAACAAATGTCAGGTTGAAATGAATCCTACATTAAAGCACACATAAGAAAGCAAACCAAATCCGTGAAGTTCCTAAGTGTGATGTATGTTGGCCACAGCTTTCCCAGCAGACACATGCGCACCTGACGAGATGATAAATTACCCTCCTTAATGAAGATAACCAAAATCACTGACGTCTTCACAAACTTTGAAAGATGTTTCCAAAATGACTTGTGTGAGGCGAGCTGTTTGCAGAAGTTAAGGAAACAATATAAACACAAACCTGTTGGCGATTAATCAGTTTTGGCTCTATTGAACCATAATAGTCCAGGCTCTACTGAACCCTTCTACTTTGCAGCTCCCTCCACACCACCTGAACTGCACATGAATTTGAACCTACTAACCATGCTCTATGGCTTCTGTGTGTATCTTTTTTCTAGCACTGTCTCTTTATAATATATCTTTTATCTACATATGAGTTTTTTCCCCTAACCATTCTGGATTAGTTTCAGTCAAACATCAATATTCTATTCTTTAACAAGTATCAGGTACTTTGTCCATTAACTGATCTTTACATGATTAGACAGAACTCCAACATGTATAGAAGGAAACATACTATTGCCTTTATAGGTTTGTGAGTTGAGGAAGTAAATGCACTTTCTTAATTCTAAGTGAAGGACTTAGACATATAATGAAAACTCACTGAATATCATCCTAGTGCAGACACAGAGACTTTGAAACCAGCCTGCCTAGATTTTAATATTGGCCTAGAACTTATTGACTAGCAAATGACATTCAATCTCCATGGCCTCGGTTTTCTTATCTGTGTAAAGGGGGAATATTAAAAGAGTGACTATTATTATTATGGGATGTTATTGCACTTCACTGTAGCCTGGCCCTTCATGTCGTTAACTTCCATAATCCACACATGTCTCTTATAAAGATCATAAGTAGTAAATTTAGTCTTTAAAACTGTAAACATTTAGAGAAAAATTATGGTTCCATGTGGTTTTGAGAGATACCAGACATGACTAGATTTTATCTGACATTAAATCCTCTGCCAAATGTGCAGGCTCCACACAGAATACTTTCACACACAAACATAAGGAAATTTGCAGTGGTTTCTTTCATAATATAGATTGTAGGAATGTACTGAGGGGTAGAGTGGAGAACATGTATACAAAAATCCCTTCTCCCTGCCTTCATATATACAACTGGCCTCAAGTAGTTGCTGGTCACTGGGGATGGCCTCTGCCCGGCCCCGGACGTGCCGAGTTGAAGACGGCATAGTTCCTGTCCAACTCTGTCCACAAATAGATGTCTCTCTTGTAACATGCCATAAAATGACTTTCCTTCTCAAGATGTCTTCCCAAAGTTCTAATTAAAAAGAATAATGAGTTCCCACTTAATATCTTCCTGGTACCTGTGCTGCGTGCCACAAAATCATTTTACTTTAAACTTTGAATATAACCTTTCTGCTTCCCTTTAACTTACTATTAATTATAATTGCAAGATTTGAAGACAAAGGCCCTGTCACCTCATTCCCAAGTTAATAAGCTTGTGACTGTGTGAAAATAGTATGGGAAAACATCTTACTGATTCAAAAAAAGAAACCGTGGGTGAATGCTAGTCCTGCTTCTTAAGTCATGTCCTGATGAAGTATCTATAAAATGTTTTGTTAAACAATATACCAGGCATGTTACATAAAATATTATGTTCTATCAGAGATTTTTTCTCTTTTACAATAGGACAGATCTCTCATAATAGACCACATGATATATGCACTTCAAAAGCTCTCCTCTCTAATTGAAATTGTTCTTTACAGTAGTGGTATTACACAAGGATATTTTGGAGGGAATGTGTGTAGGTGTACGGTGAACACTATTAATTATCAGTGGAGTCGCTGACACAAGCACCACTCTTTAGACTTTTTAAAGTCTAATCCAAAAACAGATTGTCACAAGAAAGACTAATTAGATATCCCTGTCTTCACTTTGGGTTATTCAGCAATAAATGTTTCCTTCACTTCAGTTCACAGGCTCTAATTATTTCCAACACAGAAGATGCACAGTGGGTTGAAAATGAATCAATATCAAAATGTGTGCCCCGTGAACGTGGGTGACAACTGATCTACTCATTCTTAATGATAGCACATGCTCACACATCACATATGCTTTTATCCAGCTTACCAGGACAAACATACAAAAGATTTGTCTGACTGTTGCTTAGTTAATACTTGCACCTTATATTTGGATATGCATCAGGATTTACACAGCATTCTAACATGCAACTAATACTCTTTG